CGGGGACCGTTGGGCGCCCCCCGCGCGCGCCCCCAATGGCGGAGCCGCGCTCCCGCGTGAGGGGGCTCGGGACCTCCCCTCAGAGGCACAGAGCGCCTCAGGACCCCCAGCGGCCTTCTGGCCCAACCTCCCCGCTCCAGTACAGAGCACATGGCACAGGATCGCGTCCAGACGGTTCTGCGGTATCCCCAGTGAAGGAAACTCCACATCCAGTCTATCCCAGGACGCATCACTACACTGTAAAGTTCTTCCTCACATTCGGGTGAAACTTCCCGTGCATCTGCTTCTGCCGTTGCCTCGTGTTCTCGTGGCTGGCACCGCCCCTTTGGGTACGGACACTGCCAGCGCCTGGAGCGGCGGTACCCGCTGGGCACGGCCCCGGCCGGGCTCCACCTGCGCCCGCTGTGTTCACACCTCACCCCTCGCCTTCCCCAGCCCGCTCCTGACTCCCCTCCTCGGGGGTTTAGCCCTCCGGTCTGCCATGTCTGCTCCCTGTCAGCAATGGCTCTTTCCTTTTTTGTATCCCCCTTCCCCTTGGTAACCCGAGCTGAGCTCACAGGACACTGAGCGGGTCCCGAGGAGGGCAGCGGAGCTGGGGCAGAGCTCGGAGCACAAGAGCGGTGAGGAGCAGCTGAGGGAGCAGGAAGGGCTCAGCCTGGAGAACAGGAGGCTCAGGGGGGACCTTCTGCCTCTGCACAATTCCCTGACAGGAGGGGGCAGCCAGGTGGGGGTCAGGCTCTGCTCCCAGGGAACAAGGGACAGGATGTCAGGAACAGCCTCAAGTTGTGCCAGAGAAGGTTTAGATTTGATATCAGGGAAGAATTCTTCACGGCAAACACTGTCTAGCTCTGGCACAGGCTGCCCAGGGCAGTGGTGGAGTCACATCTCTGGAGGGATGGAAATGACACTGCGGAGGTGGCACTTGGGCTCACTGTTCAATGGTGGTTTTGGCAGTGCTGAAGGAAAGGTTGGATTCGATTATCTTGAAGGGTTTTTCCAACTTCAGACTTTCTGTGATTCTTTCTCACTCACTATTCCTGCTACTGTTTCCTCCCTGCTTCCCAGTCCTCTTTCCAACGCTATCACCCCTCACCCTTAAATATCTCCTTAGTTCTGAAAAGGAGTTATTTTCTCAGAGAAGTAATTAGAGCTGTTAAAGAGTGTGCAAGCCACGTGGAATGACAATTTTTCCTTTTTTTTCATCCTTTATAGTACATTAAACATTGCTGTCATGAAGACTGCAGCATTACTTTAAACTTAACTGAATTTTTCATTAGAAAAAACTTTTTTTTTTTTCTTTTTTCGGTCTTACAACCACTGGGGTTGATGTCAAAAATTATGCAGGAGCATAATGGCCGCTGTTTTGCATTAGGCACTATCAGGATGTAATTCCACAGTTTCCTGAATTGATCCTGCATTTTCCCATGTGCCAGCCTTGATGCTTCTGCAAACACACAGCCATCCACATAAGAGAACTGAAGACAGCCATAAATAGTTTTATCATGACAAAGGACTTGGTTTTCAGCTGCTTCAGCTTTCTGAAACATTTTTTGCATGACCTGCTGGTGCTGGCAAGAGGGAGGAAGCAAACTGCAACATCCCCCTGATACAGATCGATTGGAAATTCTCCCTTGGAGACACAGACACAAGAGGAACACCGACTGTGCTGGAAGATTGATTAACCAGTAGCATTGATACTTGCAGTACAGTAATCTGATTTTACTCAGATTGGTTTTGTTTTTTTTTATGTTATAGCCAAGTCTATAGCAAAAGTAACCTATTAAATCCCTATGTTTGACAATCACAAGGAAAACGGTCACAGGTTTATATCCATTTATCTAAATGCACGAACAGACACCATCATTTTATCTTAAGAGAATATGCCATAATGCCACTGAAATATTTGTGATTTTAAAATAAACAAGTATATCCTACTGTATTAAATAAAAATCTTCCCAGAGGCTGTCTGCAAGCTGCACATAAATTACAGGAAATACAAAACTATACTTTGCCTACTAGTTATTCTAAGAGCTGTATGGCCCTTCACAAGATAAATTATGTGTCATGTAGACAACAATCCATGAGAGTTTTATAGACCCATAGTAATTTGGAGCAAAAGGGATGAAAAATCAAGAGGAGCTAATTGTGGCCTCAACAGATAACACTAAGCTGGTTTACAGTGCACTTTCTCCCCCTGAAAGCAAGACAGACAGGCCAAGGAACAGATCAAAGTAAAAAGTCAGAGCTTGCATCAGGAGGAGGAGATGAGGGTCTTTAAGATGTGAATAAATCAGTAGGAAAAATCAGCCTCTGGCTCAATTCAAGTGTAGCCCAAATTCTTCCTCTTCATTTACACTTTTGACTGGTTGATTAATGAAAGGAAAATACCTTTTAGACACACATACCCATGTCTTGCAGGTGGAAATATCTCCTCTGAAAATTCCAAACTGCACTCAACCTGGTGTCCTTCTGTCCTTCTGTGTACCCACCTTTCCCAGCTGCCAAAGTGACCTCGTGTTGTTCACACCTTTGCCCAAAACCCCGCTCCGAGTTCAGTCCATGCCCTGGCAGGGCTGGAAGCACTGCACACATCCATGTACTCTGATACATCCCACCAGGCTCTGGAATGCAGGTTTCCCAGACAGCTAAACATCAGCTTCTCCTGCAGATCCCACAGACCTTCATTCCTCCCAGATCATCCGAGCTGCCTTGGAGACTCCAGCTGGGTCTCTTCAATTCCTGTTAGATTCATGCCTGCTGAGGCACCCGAGCTGTGCAGCAACTCACTTGTGACACATTCTGAGGAAGTAGGTGTCTTTCTGTGCTCATAGAATATGCTTGTCCCTCAAGCTATGTGAGCTGATGAGAGACCCAGTTGCTGCCCCAGTGTGAGTGCAGAACAAAGGATGAGTTTCACTATGTGTGAGATGTAAACCAGAAACTCCAGCAGCCACAGGAGCTTCCCCACAGAATTTTTAACCTGCTTTTTGCTGTAAACTAGTACGTGCATAGTACCATCCTATGGATATAAAAATTCTTAGGAAAGTGTAATCCAAAACAAATACATGTTTTTCACTTTCTGACAAGGCAGTTGCAGCTTGACATTTTTTCAATTCTGATAGCAACCTACAGAATTACAGAGTAAACAAAAATCAGCAGCTGAAGTTTCTAAAGTTAGGTGCTTTTTCAGAAAAAAGCTCCACCTATATCATTACCTAAAGGAAATGTGTTTCTCAAACCAGAAGCAATGGCCAAATATTGTCAATTAAATTAAGTGTCTTCATGGGACATTTTAATTAGTGTGTTAGGAAGAAGGAAAACCAAATCATTTTAATGCATACACTTTTCTAGTTATTCACAAGAAAGCATACTGCCTAGAGTCCACAGGAGGGCATTGCTGCTTAAGAGATTGAAAACCAGAGACATCTGAGCACTATCTTTCCAACACAACTTCCTGTGTTACCAAATACTCTTAGTAAAAGCTGTTGCAAAATAAATTATTAAGGAATTCTTTAAATCAATTTTTGTCATTCAAGAAACATAACTTTGTCATGCTATTTAATGCATCCAAATTGCCAAGATGGAAAAGGAATAATGAAATTTTGGAAAAGAGCATGAAGTGCAATAGAAAAACATTACGAAGTCAGAAGTAGTTCCAAAGTTATAAATATTTTATCTAAACCCTCATATAAACACAAAGTCATATCTTTTTAACTAGTTTGAACATCTTTAATCTATTTACATCTGTGGCTTCCACAGTCAGCAGGCATTGATTCTTTTTTTTAAGCAATTTAAGTATATCATTTGAATTTTTAATGAGTTTAAGTATTATTTTTAGTATAGGGCAATGCTCTAGACTTAAGTTTAGTTTGACCTTTCAGCAGACAGAAAGCATCTTGAAGCTACAGGATTCCTTCATGCAAACCATTTGCTAAATTAGTTCTGCATTCACACTGAAGACTAATAATATCACCTTAGTTACACATATATTTCACCCAGATTTTTCTAACTGTGCATGGGTGAGAACAGTTTGGAGTACAAGGAATTCTAACATAATTTCCCATGTCACTCTGAGATACACAGAGAGGCAAAGAATTTTGTTTTCAGCATTTCAATGAGATATTATTGGACTTTTGGAAGACTCACTCCTACCCAAATCAACACCTCAGGCAGAGCGTAATTGTGCAGTTCATAGGGAGGCATTTTGTATAAAAATACAGCAGCACAGTGAGCGTTCTCAGCCTGGCATCTTGCTTTAGTTAGGGGTACAAAAACTTCTGAAAGATGTACAACTGTCCTTGAGAGAGCTCTTGCTTTTTTGGCAAAAGTTTCTCTTTCACTCTGTTCTATTGTTTGCACTTTCACCTGCAAAAACATCAAACCTGCAATCTTACTTTGGAGACTTTCATGAATTAGTATGATCAGGAGAGGGTTTTTGTTGAAAAAGATCAAAAAATACTGAGAGGCAACCAGATAGACCTTTACCTCCCTAAAGTCCAAACACAACACTCCTCAGGATAAAAATCTCTACCTTGTGTAAATTCACATGGGGAATAAAACACTATCCCCCTCTTGTATTTGCTTAATGCAAAATAAGATAACCTGCAGATAAAAAGGTAACAGAATAACCCACAGGTACTATTTCTTCAGTAAGTAGTATCAAAGTTTATCTACTAAACAAAATCTTCCTGGAGCTGTTTTTAAGGGGAGTTTGCTGAAGAAAGAAACACACCTTTGTGAATTGTGAAGTGAAAAGTCATCAGAGAATTGAATTTGCATCCTTTTCTTTGGACTTAAGTTACCATTTTTCCTTAAATCCTGCCCTCCCTCCTCTTCCCTCTGAAGTTCAATTTCTCTTTTCTTCTTTCATCTTTTCACTCTTCTTTAATAATTCATTATTTCTTTTCTTCTCTTTCCTAAAATTTTATATAAAAGCTGGCCATAATTTGAAGTGATAGGATGAAAGTAAGGCAGCAAAATACGGTCTCAAAAGTCAAGATTCTTGTGAAGGATCAAAGAATGTAGCGATGCTGTGACAGATGTGAGAGGGGAGAGTTTTCACTGTATCTTAGTCTGAGACAGACCAGGATCCTAAGTTTTGCCAAAGGAAGACTTAGAGCCAGCAACAATCTCACTCTGAGCTTTTTCACCTGCCAATTTTTCATTATGTATTTTCCAATTAAATTAAAATTTACTTGCTTTTATTTTTTATTTTTTTTCCTCTTAGCTATTCCTACACTCCAGCTCTTTCTCATTCCACAGAACCTCTGTGGGGTGGGTTTGGGTTGCTTGTGTATGGCTGATGTTAAGCTTTGTTTGAACACAGCTGTGCTGTGAAGCTCAGGAAGTACCTGTCTGAAATTAGCTGAAAGACATCCATGCTATTCAAGAAATTTTAAAATGAGCTGGTGTGAAGTGAGACTTTCTAGACAGAAAATAACAATCTAGAATTCATATTTTTAAACCAGAAAATCAAAATGCTTGTTACAGTTTGACACATGCTGGAAAATTTAAACAGACTGAGATTAATAGGAAAAACCTTTTGATTATTTAAGTATTTCTTAATTTACAATTAGGACACTGAAAGATGTCATGCCATGAGAACAGCAGGGTTTGGTGCTCACAGTGTTGTTATAAAAAGACTCTAGAATGGGAAAAAACAAACCAGAGATACAAATTGTCATATTCCTCCCAAATCTGTGAGCCATTGAAATAATTCTTTTTTTGGCAGAGACAACTTTTGGTAAAAGTGAGTTGGAGAAGTTCTAGAAAGATACAAAGAATTGAACCAGGGTTTGGAAAGTGGAATCCATTATAAAATATGAATTTATGCAGTCACACTCCTATTACAACTACTCACATATCTTATCACTTTTTCAGTGAGAAAAGTAACTCGGCTGACCCAAAAAATTAAGATGCTAACCTTCCAGCCAGGGAGTGTATTCATCTCCATATCAGCTCTATGACAACTGAATAAGGTCCAGAAATTAGCCAACAGTTCATGGTATGACACAATTTTAAAAATTAATGTTATTTTAAGTAACTCATTTATAGTTATATCATATTTTTAAACAGTTGACTTTTCATTCTAGGCATAAGCTAATTGAGAATCAAAATTGAGATCAGGCATCAAGGATACAAAGGTGTCCTTTAGAGCTTAGGAGTGAAACCTAAACTCCAGGTAGTGAACATGAATTATTTTTGGGACAATTATCTCCAATTAGGAAAAAAATCTCTGAGTCATGGAGTAGTGCTTCAACTTACACATGTACATCCATGGAGAAAAAGTCCCAGTACATTCTTAGCTTTTGCTAGTTTGGACACATTGGGAGGTGTTTACTGAGAATCCCTTACTAGGGTGTTGATCTCTCCACAGAACAGGAAAATGTGAGGGAGTGTGTTTTTCCTCCATCACAGCATGTTATCTTACTTTCATTAACCAGCACATCTAACACTAACATATGAGATTTCCAGTTATTTTTATTCTTCTGTGCCTCTTTGAACTGCTATAAGGAACAGTATTTATTAGGAAACAATAATCCAGGAGAGAGATTTGTGGGTATTGGTTGACAAGAAGTTCAACATGAACCAGCAACATGCGTTTGCAGCCCAGAAATCCAACCTGGTCCTGAGCTGCATCAAGAGCAGCATGACCAGCAGGATGATGGAGGTGATTCTCCCTCTCCACTCTTGTGATACTCCACCTGCAGTGCTGCATCCAGCTCTGGAACTCCCATGTGAGAAGGATGTGCATCTGTTGGAGTGAGTCCACATGAGGCCATCAGGGTGCTATGAGGACTGGAGCAGCTCTTCTCCGGAGCCAGGCTGAGGGAGCTGGGTGTGCTCAGCCTGACAAGGGAAGGCTCCAGGGAGACTTCAGAGTCCTGCCAGTGCCTAAAGGGGCTCCAAGAGAGCTGGAGAGGGACTTTGGACAAGGGCCTGGAATGACAGGACAAGAAGGAATGGCTTTGCAGTGACAGAGGGGGAAGTCAGGTGGGATTTGGGAAGAAATTCTTTACTGTGGGGGTGGTGAGTCTGGAAGAAATCACCCAGAGAAGCTGTGGCTGCTCCATCCCTAGAAGTGCCCAAGGCCAGGTTGGATGGATCTTGGAACATCCTCATCTAGTAGCAGTTGTCCCTGCCCATTGGAACTGGATAATCTTTAAGGTCACTTCCAACCCAAACCAGTCTGTGATTCCATGACCCTTCAGATATGTTACAGGTCTCTGAATCACCTCTTAGCCAATCTGCTGTTAAAGAATTCCTTCACGTGGGAAGCTGAGAAATTGTACATGTACATCTCTACTAAATCTTTCTTTCTGAAGGAGGCTGCAACAGGCAGAAACAAGGACTGCTGCACAGTTACACGGGAGAAGAAACTAAGCAAAAGAAAACAATTAGAGTGATCAACCATCAGCAAAGATTCCTGCTGGCCAAGGAATCATGTAAATGCCAGAGCAAAACGTGAACTCAAATGAGTTAAATGTTATGTTTCACCAACAGGTTGCTATTACAAACTTTAAGTTTAAAAATCTATTATGGCACTTCACCCATCACTTAATACTGAGCAATTTAGAAATTACAAGACCATTGATAAAAAGTAAATACAATTCTGCTGTCTATTAACCTTTTTTGCAAACAGACACTCCAGCATTTGGCTGAAAAAGTATACTGTGATCCCTTCTCCAGAGCCATGGGTCCCACTTAGCATACATACCTTTGACATGAGGATTAAACACACCCACAAGCCTCTGATGCTGGGTGTGATCTAATTCACAGGTTACAGCATAATTAAATCCACATGAGGCAGCAGGTTGATACAACTGTAAAACCAATGGATTGCATGTTAAAGACTCCACTTTTTCCACAAATGAAGGACTGCATACAGAATTATATTAGAAACAGAGGCATGTGTAAACAAGCAACATGACCTTTGAAATTTATAAATAGAATCAGAACATCTTTTAATTTTATTGACTTATTTGCTTCATAAATAGATAATACATTTTTATGGCTTGTTCCGATGCTTATCTATCACACTGCATGTTTGAGTCCTGATTAACTTCCTGGGGTTACAGTACAACCAGAAGCAGAATTTCTAAAGTACTTTGGCAAAGCTTTATTTTATAGTAATTTTGACATAATCAAACCCAGCAATTTCTAGAAATGTTTTCAAAAAATATATTCACATTGCTTGATTGCAGCATTTTTGGTTAAAATATCAGAATTCCCAGACCACACCTAGAATAAAAAGCATTAGGTTAAACTAAAGAGAAGGAAGTTTTACAGGGAGATGTTAAGGCAGTCTTCCTAGCAGTCAATTAAGCACTTGAATACCTAATCTAAGATTACCACACAGATGGTTTTAAAACAGTCTGGACAAACATATTATGAATTGACCCAAATGTATGAAAAACAGGATGTTTGCCTGGCCTGATCGCAAAGGCTCCCTCCACCCTGCACCTATTTTATTCAAATACTATAGCATGACAAGCAATAATAGTTTTAGATAATTAGTTCTGAATTGCACTTCAGTACATCATCAGTATTGCTCATCCCAAAAATCCTACTGCTTTTTCAAAATCATTTTCATAAAAAACCAGACTGAGATATTGGAAGTGGACCTGGGTAAAAATGCAAGAGTTTATACAGCGACTTACCAGATTGCAGGTCCTAAGAAAAGCAGTTCCTTTCCCACTCCATAAATGTTCATTCTAAATATTTAGTGAAGAAGCTGAATGCTTATTTTTATAAACATGTGACTACAAAACATATGGACTCTCACTGAAATAACAGTAATAGAAATTAAACTCCTTTTCACTATGTGCTAGTACAGTGTGCCATGCCCTGCTTTTCAGGAATATTGTTTTTTTTCCTGAGGAGTATAAGCTAAAATATCAATTTATAATGAAAATCTGATTATCTTAATTGCAATAAAGCAAATTATACACTTAATAGGATGTGCATGCTCTTTCCAAGCAGCTTATTGTATTGCTGTATCAGTCAAGTAAGCAATATGCCATCTGCAGATGTTTATGTATGAAATCCTGCAGAGGGAAAACATTTGAACTACAGAACAGATTAAATAATTGAAAATGAAATTGCATGATAAGGTGTTTGATGGGGTGGAGGGAAGCAGCAGAGTGGAGGAAAATCCATCCCCATGACTACTGGTCCTTCCTCCTCCCTGCTCACTGCTGTTCGCCTCTTCTTGGATTCCAGAGCTTGTTTTATTCCTCAGCAGCCTTCCTACAGCCTGGCAGATTCAGTATTGTTGGAAATTGGGGTCTGTGGTTTGCTTCAGACAGAGAAGAAAGGAGAGTTTAAGTAACGCTTTAGGAGACATGGCTTTGCTTTGGATTCTTTTATACAGAAAGAAGACGTGTTTGCTGGCTCTGAGAGAAAAAGAAAATTGTTAAAGGCAGTGTGGATATGACTTGAATTTTTCATCAGGTAAGAAGTCAGAAAATCTGTAGAACTGTGACAAAAGTTATTGAAATATATTTTTAAGTATTATTCTCTACAACCTATATTTAAAAGTGAATGTAAATTTTCCTCCACATTTTTTCTGTGCAATACTTAGGAACTTAATAAACAATGTTTATAATTGAAACATTTACTGGTCACCTTGAAAGGATGGGACTATTCATCTTTAGCAGAGGTAAGAAAATACTTAGTAAAGAAAGACTTTCTAAAACTAATTTTATTCTAGACTTTTCTTTTGCTTACGTTTCAGTAATGTTTCTACAGATAGAGGAATTAAACAAGACTAAGGGGTTTATAATAACTTACAGTGTTGAACTCTTACTGTAGTAAAGAATTTTTTTCCAAAATGCATGGATTAGGGGTTGAAGTAATTAGTTCTTTTTGTTAAATGCTTCGATTCTGGTATCAGCTGCAGTTGTGATCCAAGGATTCTGATTACAGTAACATTTATTTATTAGATTAAAAAGTGCTAGTATGTATTACAATATAATTCAACATGCTGCAGTAAATACCAGAGTAACTTATTTTTTTAAGGCTATGAATACTCCAGATGTTGACTAAGACAGGTAAAATAGTTTTACAACCAAGGAAGTGTTTAAATTGCCTCACAGAATGGTTTGTACTAAAGACTGCACTCCAACACCCCAGCACAAACTAAAGACTGAAAATAAATGACACATTCTCGTGAGAATAGAACAGTGTAGATGGAGACTGTGCATAAAACTGATGTAGCAAGTGAACAGATTAGGTAAGTACAGGGACCTTTCCCAAACAGAAAATGCCAGAGAAGCCCTACCATCCTGAATTCTTGGGAGAGGACATTCAGAATTTGCTATCAAACTGTGTTGTGCATCCATGGAGAAATAAGCAAGCTTAGCAAATAGTGCATAAAATATTACAAACTTGGCTCAGCCTCATGGCCTTTTGAGTCTCCACAGCTTGTCCTGCTCACATATAAAGCAGGGAAGAGCAGAATTTGTCTTTGTGCCAGCCAGGTGGACACCACAGGCACTGCAGAGAAAAACCATCCTTGGGGCAAAGCAGCCAGACTTTGGATCCTCACACTTCTGAAGTGGCAGTAAATCTCATGGGGGAAACAGCTGCCGCTTTTGGTGGTAAATCTACCATTTAGGGCCTCTGTCCTTCCAGCACATGCATCCTTGGGTGTGACAAATCCAGCCAGGCAATCAGTGCTGCTCCAGGGAAAGGTGAGTGGCAGTGCATTCCAGGAAACAGATGGCCTGAAGGGGCTGTTACCCAGCCACATCATCGGGTTCTGCAGGACCTGACTGTCAGAGTTACAGTCCCAGGCCTCTGCCCTGGACTCAGGAGCAGAAGAGTTTGTGGCAGCTGGTGGGCACACAGCAGAGTACCCAGTTCTTGGTCTTGCCCTACTGAAGTAGGGATACCTGCAAGGAACTGCAACATCTATCAGAGCCACCAGACTTCCATAGTTTTTGCAGCAGGATTGTAGAATTTTCCTTATTATTCCCCAACATAGCTTTAACCAAGCCCAGTACATTCTTTAGGGAGACTACAGTGTTTAATGCTAGCCCTGACCACAATTTGAGTAATTTTTGTGACATCAGGGCCACATAGAGTCACCTATATCTACAGCCATTTCCCACCCCAACATGTGTATACTGATTGAAAAGGGTATTTTAATCAGAATGACAGTGGTAATAGTTGCTCCAAAGGTGACAATTGTGGTTTTTGGAGATTTTTTTAGAATCCTAATCTGAACCACCCAAACTTATGTCAAACAGAAGCATCAGGATAAAGCAGTCCAGGATATAACTCTGACTGGAATATTCTTTGAGTGTCTGTGGGAAAACAACTACGGAATCCTAATTCCCCTGGATAACCCTGGATTTAGTGTTTAATTTTGTACAGACCACCAAACTTTTTTTTTTTATCCTTAGTGATTAAATAATGGCAATCATATCTGTGGAAGGGCTGACAAATCTTCTACACATAAGCAGATTATTTCTAGTAATAATAAAACATCCACCTATTCCTTCTTCTTTTTGTGTATCCTCTAAGTTCCCACTGCTTCTTCATTCTCCTTTCTTCACAGGCTCTCAACACCATTACTAGGGGTGAAGAATGATCTCCTTCCAGATAGTTTTCCAATAATTTCACAGGGGAATTAAGGTGAGTTAAAGCAAGTTTTGAAAGATATATGTGAAGAACATATATAAATTCCCCATTTTTAAATTTTAAAATAACTCTTTTCATACTTAGCTTTCCCTTTCCCAGGCTGGAAACAGCCTGGCTGGAAAGCTGGTGAGTCTTTAAATTAAAAGTAACTTTTGCACTCAGTGATAAATTCAAACCCATCAAGATATTCTATTGAACCTAACTCTTCCCATTAGTTTTGAAACCACAGAACTGTGCAAATACCAGATGTTTTTTGCTTGACTCCTGTTTAAGTTAGAGCTGAAAGAGTAATAATTGTCTGCATAACTACAATGTGAACTTTATTTTGTTTACATTTTCCTCAGGATAGATTTAGGAAAAAGGACATACTATCTTCAATGCATCAGTAGAACAGGAAACTCCCTTTAAGATATCATTCATAGAGTTTTTGAATGCCATTTGAGTTCAAGCACACATAATTTTGATTAATTCAGGAGGATTGAATGTATTAACACTCACATTGCTTTGTAGTTCTAATGAAAATCTAAGTGTGATGTCTAAGGTAGCAGAGTGATGTCAGGACCCAGTTCTTCTTTTCTGGTAATACAAAAGCAACAGATTATCCTCATTGGAATCCATTAAACCTTCTTAAATCTTCACCAGAGACAGATCTTAGAAAACTTTGTTCTGAAAAGCAAACTTTTTCCACAGCTGGTAAAAGAGGATGAAAGTGTCTGTACAAGTTTAGTCAGAGCTGCTATCACAGCTATTTCTTGTACATCAGTTATGGATCTGTAGCACTGTCAGTGCAGAACCCCAGAAAGGTGACATCAACCTCCTTCCACAGAGATACATAAACCCACTAATATCCATGTGCTTTTCCAGTACTGTAATTAATCATGTTAGGTTTGCTCAAAACTGTAAGGACACTGAGTGCAATGGTAGACCCACAGTACTCACTGCCTTGAAAATCTCCATGGAAAGTATTTTCTAAATAATACAAGGTTTTGTCCGTAGGTTGGAAGATACTTCAGGATGGATAAAGCTGTTCAGCATCCCAGTGAGATCCTGAATCAAACTATCTCTAACATTAGCCTTTCTCAGTTCTTGAACTTTGATACATGCCAGCTTTCCTCCCTTACAGAATTCTTGCTTATCTCAGCTTACACATTGGTTACACTCGTGGGGCTTGTTGGAAATCTTTGCTTAATTATTATAATAAAGAGACGGAAAGAAGCTCAAAATGTCACCAACATTTTGATTGCCAACCTCTCTTTATCAGATGTCTTGATCTGTATCATGTGCATTCCTGTCACAGTTGCATATACCTTAATGGACCACTGGATATTTGGGGAAGCAATGTGTAAAATAGGCTCTTTCATACAAAGTCTCTCTGTCACAGTCTCCATTTTCTCACTTGTACTCATTGCTATTGAGAGATATCAGTTAATTGTGAACCCGCGTGGCTGGAAGCCCAGTATTTCACATGCTTATTGGGGAATTCTTTTTATCTGGGGGCTTTCCCTCATCATATCCACTCCTTTTTTAGTATTCCACCAAATAACAGATGAACCCTTTAAACATCTGTCTTTCCACAGTGATTTCTACAAGAACAAGGTTGCTTGCATCGAAGCATGGCCGTCTCTTACAGAGAGACTGATTTTCACCACCAGCCTGCTGGTTTTGCAGTACTGCTTCCCATTGGGGTTTATTTTTATCTGCTATCTCAGGATATTTGTATGTCTTCGAAGGAGACGAGGTAAAATAGACAGGATGAGAGAGAATGAGAACAGGCTGAGTGAAAACAAAAGGATCAATATGATGCTGGTATCAATTGTTGTGACCTTTGCAGCCTGCTGGTTGCCTCTCAATATATTCAATGTGGTTTTTGACTGGAACTACGAGGCGCTAATGAGCTGTAATCATAACCTGACATTTACAATCTGCCACCTTGTGGCCATGATCTCAACATGTATCAATCCCATCTTTTATGGATTTCTGAACAGGAACTTTCAGAAGGATTTGGTAGTATTAGCTCATCACTGCAGGTGCTCAGCATCACAAGATGAATATGAGAACATCGCCCTTTCAAACCTGCAAACGGATGCATCTAAGGGGTCTCTGAAGTTAAACACTCCCCATGTGGATATATAAAATAATCTAACTGTAATTTCCAAAATTCTGTATTTTGTTGAAGATGGCCTTTTTCTGCAGGTCTTGGTCATGTTACCACCAAGTTTAGAGGAAGTCTTTGCCATTTAGTTTAGCAAAACTAGGATTATGCTCCTATAGGCATACTCTTAACAGGCACTTTATGATAGTATTAATGCTGATAAACCACTTCCAACCGTCCTAAAGATCAATAATAATAAATTATAAACAGTATTAATGTCTTCCTTTTTTAATCCACAGTTTCCAAGTCACTGCATGCTACCTTAACTTCAATAAAAATGTTTCCATTTCAGCCACTGTTGGGGACATCTTTCCTAAACACCTGGCTTCCTCCAGGTAAACACTGGACACTGTGGTATTCCTAACTTCAGCAGCCTTTCACACACTGTTTTCTGGCATTTTTATTCTCCAACACTGCATCAATACCCTCACTGGTTGACCTATACTTTAGAGGCAGCTCACACTGTAAGGAAGGCCCTTGAAGTTATTCTTTAGACTCCACCACCTTCCTTTCAGCCCCCTCATGCAGTTTGCTTTGGCTCAGTACCTGTTCAGCCCAGAAATTGTATTTTAACAAGGGAAAAGCCTAGAGTTGGACTTTTATTTTTTTAATGAACTCTAAAACAGAACCCATTTGATGTACTACAAGTTTCACTCAGAATGATGTTGTTCAAGATAAAATATATATTCAGCATTTCTCCTAATAGCATTGCATTCTCTAAACCACCAGTAAAGCTTATTGCTTTCTCTCTTACCAGCATCACTGCTCCTTACAACAGATCTTTTGAATCTCCATTATCAAAAAAACCCCACTATGAATTCAGAGTAAATTTTGTTTTAGCTTCTTACTCAGATTTCTCTTTGAGTAGAAAATTAGGTTTACATTTTAACTTCAGCAATATTTTTCCCCACATTTCTGCACTAGCAGGAGGCTACACTTGAGCAGATGTGGTCATTTCTGTTAACAGAAACACAGTTTCTGTGTTTGAAAATAATTTCTTCTATAACAGTGCAAAGAAGCCTAAAGGGATAACACTGAACACAACTTTTCTTAAACTAAAACATTTTAAAAACCACTTTCGAGTGTGGCCATAAAAAAATAGCCAAACTTTTTCTTCATCTATAACATAGTGACAATACAAAGAATCAGTTAATATTGAGCTGTTTAAATACAGTACTTAGAACACTTTAGTCCAAAAACTCACCATGCTTCCTCTTATTCAAATTAAATATAATTAATTACTTGTATTGCTAAAGCCCCTTCTTTTCTTCTGAGTTTCAAAACTCCCTGTTCAAACACTTGTACATAAGGTTCCTTGTAAACTATTCTCTAACTAGTAAATTATTAATGCACCACTTAAGCAAAAAGAATTCACATTCAAATTACAATGAGCTCTTTGATGACTCAGCTGTGATGAAACTCACCTTAAGGCTATAAAGTTCTCTTGGAGAGTGAACATCTCTTTCCATAGCCATCCAGCTCCTAAATGGTTCAGGAAAAGTTCTCTTGTTACAGCACAGATCAGACTGTCTGTACAGAGGAGCTCTGTCAGAAGAGCCTCAGCAGCTCGTGCAGATGCTCAGGTTTGTTAAGTGCTGCCTGATTCACACTGAGATAAAAGACCTCGGTGAAATCTTAGTGTCTGAACCCATAGAAGTCATAAGGGCAGCTCCATGGCAAGAACAGGAATGGCAGAATTAATGACATGGTAATCAAGCATCTAAGTGATAGGCATGGATTAGCTTTGGCATAATTTAGGGTTTTTTTCCCTAATTTAATCAAATATCATGCATTTGGAATTGATTACACAAACATTAACTTAAACACCTGCCTTGTGCATCATAGAAAAGAAGCCAGGAGACAGATTAATACCTAATAGAGGCCAATGATCAGACTGTTGAGAGTATTAACTATTTCTGTGAACTTCTGTGGGCTGCCTTTATTGCTGATGCACATCATCTGTGTGTTCAGCACAACAAGCATTTAATCAAGGTAAAAGCAGTAACTTGCAGTCAATGACACTGGGGCCCTGCATGGTCAGAGGTGCTGGTTGTGCTTTGGTGAAGGGATGGAACTGCTTCTCTCACTACTGAGACTCCTGGGTAACAAAGTGATTCACTGTCTTCATTGCACCTGCCTTGACTGAGAGCAAATCTGATCCGGGAACTTCACTTTTCTTGGGGATCCCAGTACCTGTATTGAAAACCATTTATTCCTGTCAGAAGATCATTCCCTGAACAGCATTTTAACAAATGTTGGTGTCACACCTGCTAGAGACTGGGCTATCTACTGTATTTCCCTGGATTTGGAACACAAATCTCTATCACCATCTTCCTCAAATTTAAGTACACTGTTTACAGCTTCAGGGCCCATGCTTAAAGCATTTTACAAGCACATGACATTAAGAATTTCACCTCTAATTCATCACTTCTAATTTATTAATACTTGCACAGCTGTTCAGATTACTCTCATTGGCAAATGTCTCAGATAATATTTAATGTTTGAATCAGGCTCAGCTGAGATTCCCATGTGTGAACTTGGCCTAAGTGGCTCCCATCCCACAGACAAGCCCAAGTGTGCATACTTTTACAGCAGAGGTGGTTTTAGCATCACATCTCTAGTGGTTTCAAAACAGCCATGAAATGAATTCTGGTTCAGATTGTGTGATGCTGATGGATGGTCTCTACTTTCTCTCCATAGAAGTGCTTGGGCTGTGTGCAATAGACAGGCAAAAAAAGATTGCTATCACTTTTTTTATAGCAATTGTCTACTCCTGACAATCCTGATCAGAGTTAAGCACTCAATTTTTCCTTCCAGTCTGAAAATCTTGATATAAGAGGGTTCTTCATTAGCAGGTGGGAGCTCTCTGAGCAATGACACTGCTTCAGAATCAAAAATGAACAATAATACTTGTGCCTTGATTTCTCCTTCTTATTTCTTTCTCACACTTTCATTTGACTCAAGTGTTGATGGATGCTCCATTTCTGTTCTGAGCATTCAGTCATCAAGTATCTCTCCTTAATGCTGCACTTGTAACAATTGTTAATGGAACAGAGGATCCTCACTGTCTCGGAGACGTCGCCCTCAGCCCTGTACATTCTCTCACTACATCCACTGGCTTCCTGTGCATCCTGATACTGAACTTCCAAGCAAGTCAGTAGGAGACAATTGTGACAGGAATAGGAATAAAGAGTAATTACTTGTTTTTAAAGCATAAGTATTATGGACTCCAACACAGTGTGTGACAGAGGTAAATGTAACTGTAATACCTAATACTTAAAGATTGCTCAAGTTAAACTGGCAAATGCTGCCCTTTCTTGGGTAATGCTGATGACTTTATTTTCCCTTGTTTTATTGGTATAGTCAAGTAGAAAAAATACTAACAGCCTTTCTCAGCAGAAAGTTGTTACCTAATATAACCAGCTGGAGAATTTCCTTGGGGGAGCAGCACCATGGAATTAACTCCAAAAAACTAGAGGGGCATCTGAACTCCCCAGTGTTATTCCAGTGTAGAAAGTCTTAGTTTTTAAAAACTAAAAACTGCATCACAGCTTTTTGAGTGGTTTGGTGACCAATATATTTATAAACGTCCTTGTAAATTAACTGTGTCCTTACATGTCTGTGTATTTTATGGTTGATCAGTTTCATTTTAAGCATTTATTACTAGGGTTAGATTCTTGTGAACTGCCATCCACTGTGGAAATTATTTCATTGAGCAAAGAGCTCAATTGATTATTGACTGTAATCCTGTCTGTGGACAAAGGCAGTGCCAGTGCTGTGTGTGCTTTAAAGACTGATTTCTCCCATTGACTGACAAATAAATATTACCCTGTGTAAAACCATCACCCTGCCCAGCTGGTGAATTGTGCTGTCTGGAACTGGGATAGGCCACTTCTCATTCAAACAGGGCACCAGAACACCAAGAATCACCAAAAGATCCAAAGGTCCAAGAGAGATACAGAGCCTGCTGCAGATTGAAAGGATGGCCATGGAGCAAACAGAGCACGGCTCAAGGGCACAAAGGTACTCAGGAAGGGACCTGACCAGATTTCAGATGTGTGAGGGAGCTGCTGACCCAGTGGAGCAAAACGAGAAGGAGGAGAGGACACAAAGACTGCTCTGAGGAGAAGGGGTGACCTCCAGAGACGTCCTGACATACCCAGAAGGGTACAAAGTACATTCCGGAGAGAGCAGCATGCTAAGGTGACCCTTTAAAGCATCAGGATGAGAGGGGAAAAAAAAAAGGAAACAAGGAAAAATTTAGAAGCAACAGGGTATGTGACAAACAAGAAAAAAACCTAAAAAATAGGAATAGCCAGCTCAATAAAATGAGACAGAAAGAAAAATTTTAAAAGTTAAGGGGTACAAGGCAGAGGAAGCAAAAAAAATTAAAACTGAGACAGAAAAATAGATAAAAGTAGACATAGAAAAGCAATTTAAAAATGAGAGGAGAGTGAATGTGCAGCAAAGCTTTGAGAAACCTCACAATGAAGGGTCAGACAGGCTGCAGAATTGAGTGGAATCTCATAGACTCTATAAACAACATTGTCCTTTCAATTCTATGCTAATAAGACACTTAGAAATATTCCACAATGGCAACTGTAGAATTATCTTGTCTGCTATCACTCATTTTTAAACAAGGTTCTTTTGGTTTCCATGCAAATGCACTGACTGATGCCTTTTATTTAATTCCCTTTCATTTCACTTCATTTCATTTCTTTCATTTCATTTCATAGATTTCTCCATTAGTCACAGGCTATTTACATAATGTCATGGAATTGGCACGTGTGGAGCTATTCTCTGCAGAATTCACTTCGCCTTCATACCTGGTGAGGAAAACCTGTTAATTTGTGTGGATGTCAGGGTTGTAACAGCTCCATGAATTAGTTCTTCCAGTCAGGAATGGCTACTACAGTCACAAGAAGCTCTGAAAGTTTGGGTTCCCTTTAAAGAGAATTTTTTACCCCCTTGCCAGTTCTATTTTTGATTGGAGTCTCCTGCAGTGCTTCATGGTGTGGAACCAGACCCACAGTGCTGGAGGGGACTGTGAGAGGCACAGATTGCCTGGACACACCTGCAGTGAGTGCTGCACAGCCTCCACCTCCACAGGCTCCCAGGGCACCCTTACACTGCCCAGCACATGTAAATCTCTCCTGTCCTCAATAAGGGCCAACAGAGTTGCCTGCTAACAAGTTACAAAATGACTGCTTTTGGGACTACAATTATTTGGGTGGTGTAGTTGTGTCAGATGAGTCCGTGCACTAATTTCTACCTTGAAGCCATCTCAAGATTTGCCATCCTTACAACTACTAAAAACCAACCCATGACTGTAGTTTGATCATATACCCACATTTTCGGAAGTAGTTGGCCAGTGGAAGCTGTTCAATCAGTTTATTGGGTTAGGGGGTGGGAATGGTATTTGGGTTTTTTTGTTTGCTTTTCAAATAAATGCAACCACTGTTTTCTTACACATGAGATGTAAACCTAGGCAAGAATAAAAGTCAAGGATCTTTATGTGAATCGAAAAAACAAAGGAGATCCCAGAACAGTTTTGCCAGAACCAATTTCCCAGTCTTCTGAAATTTCTTTAACAAAACTATCTAGCTGCCTCCCCTTTTACATAACCACAGGAGCCAAGCAGCAACTGTAGCCTGGCTATAGTCCTTACCCATTCTCCGTGCTCTTGGGCAGATTCCACTGCTAAAGGAGCTCCCTTCAGCTGCAGGAACGAATGCCAAAGAGCCTAAATTTTGGGGAAGGGTTTTAACTCTGAAGTGGCAGAGAAGGAGCTGAATTTGACAGAGCAGAACAGAGCTGAGCAAAGATCTCAGCAGAGCTCAGACCTTGGAAGAGATTCAGGAAGATTGTGCAAGAAAATGGAGATAAGAGTTTACAAGTCTCAGAGTAGATTGCAGCAGTATGTAAAAACAACAACAAACATGTATGTGTGTGTGTGTGTGTGTGTGTCTGTTTAACTCAACACACTGGCAGCTATCTGGGCTGCCAGAGAAAAGATTATATTTGAGCATCATGTCTTAACAGGACACTTTTACAAAGAAACAAAAAGACACAGGAACCATTTCATAATTTAACTTGCACAGGTGGAAGATCCACCTATAAACTGCAGCCATGCCCAGAGATTTACGAGACAGGCAGTCCTTGCAGGAGCTCAAAGCCATCAGGCACCTGAGATGTCAGTGAGGGACTCGCATCCTCCTCCTGTAAGGCTTGGGTGCTCTTACAGCAAGCAGCAGGGAGAGCCCAGCATGTGGGTTGCTCCGGGTGTGCTGCAGGATGGGCACTTCACAGCCTCAATGGGTGGCTCTAAGTTTATTGTCCTTTGAGGAGCTGCAAAGTAAAGGTCAGAGGGACCTCACCACACCCACAGGGCAAACCTTTGGGAGGTAAATTAGTCAGCAAATAATGTCTTTCAAGATATCTAGGGCAGTATTTCACTATTTGTAAAGAATATATTTGCCAGTCAGCTTAGCAATGCTGTCAGAATGGCATGATACCCTATCCAGCACACATTTACATTTGAGCATTTCAGACGGCTTTAAGTGTCTTAATGCTTCCAGCTCTTTATTCCCAGACCTTTCTGACCGTGTGAGCAGGTCAAGTTCTCACACCGAATGCACCGTGCACGCCTGCCCTGGATAGAAATCAGAGATCTCCTTGGGACTGGTGTCAACCAACATCAAATACGCGTCCAAGGCAGTCTGGGCTGTCTCCTGGAATCAGTTCTCAGTGCCTCTTGCTGCAGGTGTCATCTGTCTCTAGCTCTTTGTGGCACTGGGAGCAGGGGGGGACTGTGGAAAATGTCACACTCCGGTGGTTTTGAATGCCACCATCCGTGTTAGTGACCATAAACCTGATCCCAAGAGAGCGCATCCTCCAGGGGCATTCACAACCTCTAATCACTGCCAACCCAGCTGGGTCAGACCCCCAGTGCTTGTCAGACACAACCCCCAAACCCTAATGCATATTGAGAGCATAACCATCTTTTGAAATGCTCCTTATTAACTAAAACCTGCTAAAACTTTGCCTGTATTTAGGCATTCAAACAAAACCATTGACATACCGCACTGAGTCATCAGCTGAAGGAAGTCCTATGACTGACTGGGAACAAGATTCCTGGCTTCTAATTAAAGATGAACTTAAGACTCCTTTAAAAATTGGCCACAGAACTAGTATTGAATCCAAAAGCAAAATCTGAGTTGACTGAAAGGTCAACAAACACAGGGAGATAATTACTGCTTGATGTTCCAGGAAATCCAAGCTCTGACACTAAATTTAAAAAAAGTCTTTGATGAATGATAACAAAAACTTTCTTTCTTCCCATCCCCATCATGCAAACAGACCAGACACAGACATACTGAGACCATTATGCAAGAAAAACCCAACAATCATGGAAGTTCAAGTATCCTGTTAAACCTCACATCTTTATTCATTGACATACACAAAAAAATCAAATATTTCAAGGGAAAAAGGGGTTTTTTGGTAGCATCATTTACTTTGCTGACTTATCACTTTACTGAGTTGATTAGCTTTTGCTTTGAGCTCTTGCCTCTTTCTAAAGAAAAATACACAGTATATTAAGATTTTAGGAGTATTCAAGTTATATTAAAAAGTTGAGGTGAGTGTTAAAATACTTTCAGTGTGTTTCTGCATGGAGGGGATCTGCAGCAGCTGTACAAAAAGCATCTGAGAATAGCAACAGCAAGTTCTGAGAAAAAAATTACAAACAAAGAAAAACTATGAGCAGTCAAGTTAATTTAATCAAGGGTTACTGTACATCTGCTGCTAAGAAATAATAGCTGCTTATTTTTTTCTTGGAAAAGCTAAAAAAAGTCAGCTGCTAGTTTAACAATTAAGTAGAATTTAAAAATATGCAGAATGACTGAACTGTTGAGGATGTGAAGGGGCCTCTTGATATCATCTAGTCTAACCCCCCATGCACAGTAAGATAAAATGCTTTTTCTGAAGTATAATCATAAAATTTACCTAATTAAAACTCCACCAGAAAGCTGCTCCTGGGTGGGTGTTGCTGAACCACCACCAGCCTCACTGCGATGTTTGGTGCTGCTCCAGTTGGTTCGGGATCTCCCGACTCTGAAAGATTATTTTTTCTCTGTCCCAGTTTATGTTGCTGACAAACTGAGAGCTGAAGTTTCTCAGAAAAAACAAAACCTCCCAGTGGGCACCACTTCAGCTACCAGCATGAAGGCAGTGGTGAGCAGACATGATGTGGAGCTGCTGATGGAGGAGGCATGAGCCTGGTATGTCTGGGCAGATGTACAAGCAAAAAAAAATTTTGTTTTTTTCTTTTTTTCATGCTTTTTCAAAGCAGGGCTGAAATCAATAGAAATTTGTTTCTTGCCCACTTCATCTGTGGCATCCTGATGGGTTTGGAAGTTAATATTTCAGTACATGGTACAGATAGAGAAACAGACACCATCAGAACCACCTTAGATTACCAGAATCCAGAGATCCTGCAAATTACTGCCATCTGCATTTTATATTAAATATGTCTAGAGGATACTTGTCAAATTTGATCTTTATGAATATCTGTCAACCTTTTATACTGACTTCATTTGCTTTACCTTGAGAGCAATTGAGCTGGTCCCCGAGGCAGGCATTACTCACATGCCACCTTTAACAATCAGATTAGTGCTGTGTTTGCTCTAAAAGCTGAAGTCTCAGTGCTCAGCACTGAAATGAGATCTCCTGAGCACAGCACACAGCCTGGTCCCAGCTCCAGCCCTCTCTTGGAGAGGTCCTGCTCACCATATGGTGCTCCTGCTATGCCTGTGCTATTTCTAGCTTCCAATACTATTGGAGCTGT